TGGCATTAATCTATCTGAGAACGCGGCATCTCACCACAGCCACCCGACACGAAAGTGAATTATCTGTAACTATTATTGGTGCAAAGTCTGGAACGGTACCAGCCCCAGAATAAGAAGCAATCTTTTCAGCGGTTTAACGCAGGTTGTGCCGTCCTCATTCTTTCCCTTCCAAGCGTCAGTTTAAGGCTTTTAAATGCAGTCTGCCATTGTAATTCTCGTTTTAAAAAGCCACCACTTGAGATGAAAACCTGTTAAATCAAATAGCGTATTTTACACGTCCCCCTGTCGGGTGTCATGTATTTTTAAGGCAGACCTTTGGAGACCAATGACACTTTGATAGTAACACACAAAATCTTATTTTGTTTCTCCCTCTCTCTCCCTCTCTCGCTGTCTCCCGTCTCACCATCTCTCCTCCTGTTAGATCAATAAACAATTCATTGAAGCTCTTTTCTTTGCTTTTCTTGTCAGAGGCACAGAGGCGTTTTGAATGCATTAAGGCAGCGCTCTGTGCTGTCACACGCTCTGTATTCCAGACCAAAGCTGTCAGTCGCTGCCCTCCCTCCCTCAGCAGCCCCCTCCGAAAGCCTTGGGCTCCTCTAATGCCACATTATGCCCAGCCACTCTCCCGGATTACATGGATGTGCAGTCCTCCTCCTGCAGTCTGGGCTCATTAGGTGTCAGCTGGAGTGAGCGAGTGAATACCCTGGCCGGAGAGATGCTGCAGACATATCGCATCACACGCACACACGGCTGCTGGAACAGCTTGTACCTGTTGACTTCCCAGCAGCCTGTAGCACTCTGTCATAAAAACACTCATGTAACATCTCTTTATCTATCTGTCTCTCTCCTCCTGACTAAAAATCTAATTCGTGGAGGAAAAAAGACAGGGGAGATATGAAGCCAGGCAATGGAGAACCATTTCTCTCCAATCGCTCGGAATGCAAGACCCCTTGTTTGGATTTCATTCAGCATCACGTTACCGTGGAAATGAATGGGTCAGAAAGCCTTTAGATGTGGCTTTGCCCTTCAGACCTAGAACCCTTTGGTAATGCGCTCCTATAATGCTCACATTTATACATCCCAATTATAATTAAGATGCAGTCCCCATGAAAATCATTACACTGCTCGAAGGGGTTCTCGTGACTAATGTTCTCAGTACGCCATGCTATACACAGATATGCTCGCTTGCGAGCGCAGTAGGAATTAGTAAATTTCTCTTGATGGCCCAGTTTCACACTGAGCCAAAGTTCTGTGTTTTGCACATTATACTAATTGTGGGACTAAATATTTGGGCTTTCTTTTGAGGCTACGCACACCCCCCGTGTATGTTAGAAGGGTTGTATAGTTTTGGCACCAGTTTGACCATATTGTCTCGCCCTCCTGAGCCCCTGCTAGCACCCATTGTCCCCAGGCTCAGCAGGGCTGCCAAGGCCCCCTCTGCCCCGGAGCGCCCGGGCAGCCCTGCCCCCCACTTGGCCCAAACAGCTGCCCCCATGACCCCTCGCTCCCCTCCCACTGTCAGACATGAACTTCTCTCACAAGCTTCACACATACCATACAGTCTTGGTGTATATATACTCCATGGCACTGGCTTTCCTGATACTCACGTATGACTTGTAAGCCTATGTGCTTTGCAGACACATCTAATCTGTCTGTCTGCCTTTCTGCCTGGATGTCCTCTGCATGCATGGTTAAAACATTTCAACTTGAGGACCTTAATCGTAATTGTGGATGTGGTTAAACATATAGGCCTATATTTACTATACAATGACTCTGCAAAAATTACTTAACTTATTAATATTATTTGAAATATTACTGTATATTAGGGATTTTTTCGGCGACTTATTTGATGTTACATTTTAACACCAGTAGGTGGCGTCAAGTGAGTAAGTGACTGAATCATTTATTCAAACAATTAATACAAAAACATTGATTCATTCAGGAATGAAACAAGCGGGTCTTTGAAAAATTTATTAAACTGATTTGTTCAAAACACTGATTTAAACATGAATAATATGTGACTGTCTTAGAATGAGTCCTTGGAATGTAAACTCAACTGATTCAGTCAAACACACTGATTCATTTGAGGAACAAAAATATGATGTTATGAATCATTAAATCGTTCCCTGAACTGATTTGATCAAACACACTGATTCATTAAACACATGATCACTGATCTTGATTTGGCACCATTTTATTTGGTGGAACAAAAATTAATACAGTAACTGTAGTAACTTTAGTGACACATCACATCAGATACATCTGCTCAAACACCAACATCCTGCATACTTATCTAGGTAACACATTCCAAGCAGAGCTTTAAGACAGGTGTGTCATATTTCCTAGCTCTTTGCTGAGCAACAGGTGACATCACACCTCACGGCAGTGGTGACAGAGAGCAGCAGGAGTTTGTATTCCATGAGCACTGGCGCATTGAAACTCAAGCTAATTGACTTTCTCAGCTAAAGCATCGGCCCTGTGGGAAATGCAGTTACCTCGTCTAACTCTCACATTAAGTTTTAATCACAGCCCTGTTCAGTTTGTTATCATAAAAAACAGTATTGTATTCATAATGTATACTGCATTCTCTTCTAGCATGTTTATGCATTTAAAATGTACAGTCTATCTCTTCTGGGAAAATTAATTTTGGTGATTCATAAATGTTGATGGCTCATCCTGCACTACACAGATTTTTGTCCAATCAGATGATCCCTAGAATAAGAATGACCCTCCCCTGCAACTAATTGTTAATGGCTATAATGTAACCAAAGACTTGTGGTATGTCCTCATCAGACTTCCTATTGCAACAGCAAATATGTCAACACAGGACATAAAACTGCTTTTGTCAAGTGAATTCACTGGGTCTCTAGGTGATTATGTCTAGGTGTTATGTGGCATAATATGCTAGACATGGTTTTCTGGTATTGCCAGAAGTTGTCTTCTGAGCCAGGGATGGCGCGGGCACAACCATCCTGGAGTTTGAAAGTGTTTGCAGTGGTGAACACAAGCGGAACACCCTCAATACCTAAACAGTGTGGCGCACCCGCTAAGTAACGGCCAATGCTTCTTCAGGGCCATTAACTTAACACTGCGATGGAGCCAAGAGGCCCTTATAAATAGACACAGGAGTGGAGGTAAATTAAGCCAAAGCCAGTCCTCTATCCAGGTGTCACTTTGTCCAACTCAATTTTGCACTGTAATAGAGGCTAGTGGGTCAGCCACTTCTCTCTCTCTCTAGTTCTTTTTCTCTGCCTTACCCTTCAGTACCGCACGGAAGAGTTTCTCCCAGCTAGGCCATTTACTTGTGACGCTCTTTACTTCACACAGAGGAACACTTAATTCCAGCTAACACCAATCACATGGACACTGCACTTCCCTTCATGGCTCCCGCTTTATCAACTGTCCCCCCTGCCCTTCTCCTGTTCCCAAAATAGTGTTCTTTCTTCAATGGAAGTGTTCTTACCACCTGAGAAATACGGTGCATTAGGAGTGAACTGTATGATGTGTTATTTTACTGGTAAAAAATCCTTAAAACAAAGCTCAATTATTCAAATATTGTCTAGAAAATATTCTCTTTGTAGTATGCTAACAGTGTAATGTAATTGATCCAAAATATGGCCAAATCTCCAAATGTTAAGCTATTAAAAAAAAAAGACAAGGTCCATAGTTCATGGTCACTGATTGGGCTCTTCTGTGAGGGGAATACTTGAAATGAAAAGTGGGTAAATTATCATCATTAAATCTTTCAGTCACCAATAATGTGGGATTTTAAGAGCAATCACAGAGCAGCACTGGTGATGTGGCTTAGTCTTTCCCTCCACCCCATCCAGACCCTTGAGCTCCCTGGGTCAGAGTCCACCTAACCTCTCGCATTCCTCAGAGCCTTTCCTCCCTACCCCCGTCACCCTGTCATTCATCTCCCTCCACCCGCCCCCTTTAAATGTAGCTTTTTAAGTTTCTTTACAGCCTTTAGTTTTGCCATGAACCTTCCTGAAGCAAACTTGCATTTCACATCCCCAAACTTCTTTGGGATTTCCTTCCATAATCAATGCCCCCCTTCCTTTTTATCGATAAACCGAGAGACACAAGGAGTCATTAAAGATGGAGACAGCGAGTGGGGGAGGGAGACGGCAGGGCCCAGAGAAAGCCGGAAGGAAGGCTTGTCAGTATTTATTTGCAGAGAAGCAGCAATACAGCTGCACTGCCTGAGATTTAAGAACAGGAATAGTCGTTTCTCTCGCTCCCCTCGAACTCCTGCTCTCATCCTCTCAATCGCTCCCATTTTTTTTCCCCAGCAAATGCTGATTGATCGAGCTTTATGAACATGAGACTGGGGCTCCTCATAGATTTTTAAATTAGTGCCAGCTTTGCCCCAAAGATGTGTTATCGACTCATGAAATAGAAGCGGAGCTTAAAACACTCCCACTTTCCCCAGAGTTTTCTAGAGCCTGATAATTGAAAAAAAAAAAGTGTGAAGTGTGAGTCTGTGTATGAGAGTAAAGCAAAAGAGAAGGAAAAAATTGCTCACTTTGCGCCTTTATCCATTTAAACACCCAGATGTGAGGGGTTTTTTTAACCGGAGATTTCAGTGATTTGCTAATATTCATTCCAGCCACTCTACAACAACCACTCTAGTTGTTTGTCATTTCCTTTATCTGTCCGCTGACCTCTTGTGGCACCATATTATATGTGCATCTCGCCCTGTAGTACTGAATTAGATTCTCCTATTGATCCACTGAGACTGAGTGTATTTTCTGAATGAATCATTGTCTTTTTTAGCCTGATTGTCCAGCTTTTGCAATGATCATGTGATTCACAAGAACCTGTAATTGGCAAATTAAATTGCAAAATAATGATTTTCTTTCTATAAGGTGTCAGGCAAATAACAGTCCTGCTCCAAAAGCCAATGCTGCTATGTTTAGTTAGTCAAGAGACTTTAACATACATACTGTAAATGAAATCGTACACTCGTGCTAACATCTCACTCTTTCTGTTCTCAGGTTCAGATATGGCCATCTTCTGTTTGCTGTGCGGGAAGCGCTTCCAGACGCAGACGGCTCTGCAGCAGCACATGGAGGTCCACGCAGGCGTGCGCAGCTACATCTGCAGCGAGTGCAACCGCACATTTCCCAGCCACACCGCACTCAAGCGCCATCTCCGTTCACATACAGGTCTCCCAATCAGCTCTTTACTACTTAAGTTTGTGTGTCTTTACGTTGCGCATTTGTGCATAACCGATGGCCTCAGGAGCCACATTTTTGGAATGAATCAGTAAGACATACTAATTTGATGCTTTAATGTTTTATGCACATCCGTCAAGCCGAATGATTATTTTAAACACGCTGAGATGTGATTCACCCTGTAGTGTTTAAATCAGGATCCTGGTACAGTCATTGTGTTGGCTTTTTTTCCCACCTGTCATCCCATCACTTTCTGGATGGAGGTGGATGGAATGAAGATAGCAGGCTGAAGTGACATGTCATTTAGTGAAAGGCCAAAGCGCTGTGATGGCTTGTGACAGTGCAGATATCGCCCTCCCCGGTCGGGCTAGTCCTGCTATACGGCGGTTCCATCCCCATGTGGCCAGACGCGTGGCTGAGCAGATGCGACGACTCGGGGAACAGTCTACATTACTGTCTCCAAATATGAGACGCTGGAAATGAATCCCATTTTCTCCAGAAAGCCTTTTCTCCCCATCGTCTTTGACCTTAAATAACAGCCTGACGTGTCAGAGTTGCTTTACTCTGTGGTGGCAGGGATGAATATTTGAAGCGAAAGCGGGAGATGAGCAAAGCCTGCCTGTTTATAGGCCGCCCGGCCTTTATTGGGCGGCTGACGGTACAAGGCAGCCGAGCGCTTACTGTACTCGCTTGTCCTTTGCCGGACCGTACATCGGAGCCGACGCTCCCGCCTGCATGCATAAATGTCAACAGTCTGCTTCGCCGCAGACACGGCGGAGGGAGAGAGAGAGGCTGTGATGCAGCGTCGCGCTAGTTTGAACCCAATTCTCTGTAGGCGTGTATTAAATTACAATGAGCGCTAGCAAGCACCCGTTTAATGTGATGTGGGGGCTTTTGTCAAGGGGCTGAAAGGGAAAAACTGCTTTTGGCACTTGCAAAAAACACTGAAAATACATTTTTTTAAAAGAGGACAAAAAAGAAGACTCATTGCTTGCGTTTAATTCTGCTTTGATCTTCTTGATCTCATTCACAGTGTATTTTTTTAATGCTGGAAACTGAGTCGCCGATGTGATAAGCACTCGGATATTCCTCCAGAGCAGTGTTTCCCAACCTTTTTTTATCTTATGTACTCCCACAACCCTGTCAATAGTGCTCAAGTACCCTTTTATCAACACCACACCAGAAATATTTTCCTTGAACTTATTGTGTGTTAATATAATTAACGTCACCATTATAACATTGATTTACTTTAAAACAATCACTACTGTGTTTGACTCACCAGGTGGTTTATATAAAAAACCTTGTTTGCCTTTCAATCATAGACTTTCTCAAAGACGTGTCAGCTAATTTATTTGCAGTTTGATGTTTAACACATGTTGTCATTTAGGCTTAACAGACATTTTGTCATTTATGTTTAACATACATTTAAGTCATTTGCTCAGTTTGTATAGTGGAATTTAAGTATCATTGAATCTATAATGGTTAAATAAATAATAAATAATTAACCATGAACAAAACATACATTCACAAATGTGTGTTGTACAAATGTTTATCCATCAGGACTGCTTCATAAAATGGTTGTCATATTATATTTTTTAGATATTGCAGTTCAGCATTTTATTAATTTTGAAATTTAGAAATCTGCTTCTTTCAGATTTCGTTGTACATGAAATTAAGTTCAAAACTGTGGAATTGATATTTCTTTCCATTTATAATGTTATAAAAGATTTTGACTTTGACAAATAAATGCTCTTCCATTGAACTTTATATATATCAAATATGTAAATAATAATAAGAGAAATAATTAATGTTTTTAAACACCAAATCAGCATATTAAAATAGAAATTGTAATAATATTTCGCAATATTACTGTTTTGACTGTTTTTGATCAAATAAGCGCAGTCTTGGTGAGCATGTGAGACTTCTTTTAAGAAACATAAAATCTTGCAGAACCCAAACATTTGCTTGTATAGGTTAAATCAAATAACTTCAGTAATATAGGTAAGTGAAATCGAAGTATTTTCAGGTATTCTCTGAGGTATGTACACTTAAATCACTGCTCTGTAGAAACAGTGGCGCAATAGCTTAACGTATCCCTGTCTTCTCCATGTGTGGTGCCCACTCAAAAATAACTTAAATGAGTGATTATGGGCCCACACAGTCATTACTCAGTAATTCAAGCCCAAGCTTAAATTTGATTTCAGTCATACCTCTGCCTAAATGCTGATGCAGAACCAATTTTGACAGGATTTCAGAGAATGATTACACGCGTTTCCGCTGATTTTATAGAGGAATTTCTGTTCTTGAATGCACTTTGCTTATGTACTTTTACAGGCGCATGCAGTGTGAGTGAATGCTGGCATCCATTAGGGCTGATAATCATGGCAGCCCCCTCGCTCCCCCCTCCATTCCACACGCTGCCGGCCGTGCCTCGTTAATATCCCGTTGTTGTTCTGTGCTTGTGTTTTATTCGGAGCCCATTTTCCATCTGCGGCGGGTGTTTTGTGTTCGCAGCTGTGTTTGATAGTGCAGCCCAGTCGAGACCCTGGCAGTGATGGATCCTTGATTTACGATGCTTAGCGCATAATGAACTCGGCCCCTGCCTTAACGTAAGCTTCGGCCCTGCCAGGCGGCAGGCGGTGCCCACAGACCCCAGCCAGGTACGCCACCACAGCAGTCCTCTAGGGCAGGGGGACGCAGGTGGCAGCCCCCGAGCTTCCCAAATGTCTTTTCCACACTCTTTGTGCCTCACAGCCACCAGACTTGCAGAAAGACACAGAAAGGAACCGAGGAACACGCAGTCGGTGACAGCATCTTGATCTATCACCTTGTATCTTTACTGCCTCAAAGCTTAATGTATTCCAAACAAAGCAAAGCCGGCAAACAGAATTTGATAAGCAAATTGCCTTCTGTTTATAACGGCGACATGCTGAATTTACATAACAGGTAGCCTAAAAAAAATTACCAGGCGAGTATTACGATATGAATTTGTGCCCTGTGGTATCAGGAGAGAGCTGTCACAAATTATTTTGTCAAATAAAGATTAAAGATGCTTTTACCGAGGGTAGAAACAAGCATGCGGATTTAACTCATGGCCAGTTTTCTGGAGACTAGCGCGGATGTCTTCGATTGAAGCGCCAGCTTAGGCTCAATTAAAGTCAGGTGAATTTGGCGCGATTGCTATTCTCATCGCGTGCCGGAGAGCAGTCAGGGAGCATGATGGATTGTGATCTCTTCTGCGGAGGAGGCATTTTGAAACGCCAAATTTCTTACAGCGACTGATAACTTCATGCACACAAATAAATACTGTCACTTTTATTGATTTCTGAAATGTATGGGTTTTTTTTTCCTGTTTTGTGTCATCTCCCCCTGCTTTTCTTCTCTCCCATTACTGGTGAAGCGAAGACGGTGGAGCCCAAGCAGCTGTGTAAATGCGAGGCGTTTAGCTGCATCTTGCCACAAAACATGCCTGAGGAAATTGACATTGTCTGGTAACGGGAGGCGGCGAGATTCTGAGCATGACAGTACATAACTGAAATGCAATTTATTCCCAGGCACGGTGCCGCTCGGACAGCCAGATAATGAAACGCATAGGTCATAGACGATGACTTAAACCCTCCGCACAGAAGTGAAATGCATTAAATATGGGGGAACATTACACGCCTGGCGGAGACGTGCATCTGTACAGGGAGAGAGTGATATATGGTTAGCTGATAGTGAGACACAGAAACGTAATTAGTGCAGAGAGCAGAATAAGAAACACCCCCGCATATCATAATATCACTGATTACTGACCTCTGAATATCCATTACAGTGCAGGAAGACAGGAAGATACAGATGACAATGACCTATAACAGACAACTGATGATATTGTACTGAGAGCTTGTAATGGCTTGATTTCAAATAAATATTGTAGGCCAGCTGTTTAATATGGAAGCATATAGGTAGCGAAATTCAATTTAAAATGCAATATGCAAAATGGCAATGCAATATTCAAAATGGCAACGCAATATTCAAAATGGCATTGTATTTCTGTATTTAAATTGACATTTTCCATTACCCATACGTGCAAAGTTTGGTGCAAAAGTAAAATGAAAATTAAATTATATAATTTACATTTACCATTTCCAACAGTAGTCTTAATATGTAAATTGCATGCAAATTTGAACGCTTTATAAGTTGCGAAATTAAAATGAAAATGTATAACACAAATTGATTTGATATGTGTAACATGTCCAAGCAGAAATTGTAGCATAATGATCATTTAAATGCTATTTGTCCTAAATGCATTTAGACTAACAGTTAGAACTCAAATCAATTTGTGTTATACATTTTCATTTTCATTTCGCAACTTATAAAGCATTCAAATTTGCATGCAATTTACATATTAAGACTACTGTTGGAAATGGTAAATGTAAATTTTATAATTTAATTTTCATTTTACTTTTGTGCCAAACTTTGCACGTATGGGTAATGGAAAATGTAAATTTAAATACAGAAATACAATGCCATTTTGAATATTGCGTTGCCATTTTGCATATTGCATTTTAAATTGAATTTCGCTACCTATATGCTTCCATAGTTTAATGCTTTGTATGAGAAAGAAATATCACTTGGGTTATTGTCCATTGTTGTTGTTGTTTTTTTCTTCCCTCATATTTTTTCTTTATAGAAATGTTCTCCTATTATCTTTCTTTTATGACATTTTTTAAATCTTTTCATTTTACAGCCTTTTTGTGAGTTTAGTTTATTGAAATGAAAGGTGTTGTGGTTGTAAAATTCATTCTTCTATCCTTTTTACATTTTGATTTACAATGATACACTTTGAAAACCAACTTTTCATTTGATTATTTATAGTCGTTTCTGTGCAAATGATTCATTGGAAGATTGCTTTCCAATTAGGGGTGTGCGATATTGACAAAAAATTATATCTCGATATTTTATGAGATTTTATCGATAACGATAATTAGACGCAAAATACTCGATAATGTCAAATCGCACATCGTTAAAACAACAATTACGATATTATCGCAGACGATATATATCGCACACCCCTATTTCCAATATGCATCATTGTAAAACACTGTATTTATGGCTCTATCAACTATGTTTATCAATTGTAAAAATAGTTCTGTTTTTTTTGAGTATCACAACGCTGCATCAATGCCATTTTCTGTAACTAAAGGTACAGAAATGACACCTTAATTTAGTGGTAATATAAGGTGATTATAGCCTTTATAATGTCTGTCTGGTGCAAGTTCATTCATTCAGTTCTTATCTTGTTATGATTAGCATTAACTTGCATATACTACATATACTGACCGACCCTGTGTCCAGCAGGTGACCATCCATTTGAGTGCGAGTTCTGCGGCAGCTGCTTCCGAGACGAGAGCACGCTGAAGGGACACAAGCGCATCCACACCGGAGAGAAACCCTATGAATGTAACGGCTGTGGCAAGAAGTTCAGCCTCAAACACCAGCTAGAGACCCACTACCGTGTCCATACAGGTACTGTACACTTCTTCCTGTTTTATCAAGCCATGATGAATGGGAATACAGATAGCTTTCTTTGGGTATTATAGTCCTCATTGGTTTATTGTACTACTTTTCCAGTAACATGCCCTACTTAAATCACGTTAAGCACTACGGTCGTATGTGGCAGCTTTCTGTTATCCTTGTCAGCAGGCGAGCGTCACATCAGATCTTTAGATCACAGCTAAGGCCGATGCCAGCGCAGGCCATGCCTCTGTTTGGCTTCAGACCTGTGCAAAGAGCCCCTTTCCTCTTGTTAAGGTGATATCTGATTGATTCCTACATCTCCGCACTCTGTAAAGCCCACACCAAAGGGCAGGCCATTTCCAGTGCTTTCAGCTCGCTCTTTGACAAGGGGATTAGTGCGGTACTGTAGAGACCAGATCTCTCGGACGCGCATGACGGACACCAGACATTCCCCTCCTCTCTGCCACTCAAAAAACGATGCCGTTAAGCCAAACTATGAAGAAAGCCTGTCAAATAATTGGCTTCTTTGGGTGCAGTGGGGGTGGAGTAAAGCCTCTGTGGTGCGTGCAGAGCTCCCGAGATAACAAAAACAACGACAAGCTCACAGTCAAAGGCCACCGCATGCAAAAAGGGAGCCGCTTGATGAAGCATCGACATTGGCAGCCCCGCTCCTGTCGATGACCAATCAATAACTCGGCTCCATTTGCAATTCATTATTGCCTGGTTATCTGAGGCTGCCCTGTTTACAGTGCAGTTAAAGTACAATGACCACACGTGCGTGTATCACTGGAGTCTCGACGGTTTAATGACCGTCTCATTAGGGCCTTTGCATACACAAACGCAGACAGACATGACATTGCTCGAACCGCCGAGGTCAAGGTTCCTCAATGCCTCCGTTAAACAAACAGAAGACCCGAGCAAACAACACAGAGACTTTGCATTCCCAGGATGCCTTTACCCAACACAAGCATTCTTCAATCCTCAACTTATCAATGCTTTCCCTAGTGACATTTTTAAAGGTCAACATTTAGATGACTTATTTTCACCGTCAGAACAAATGTGCTGTGCTTTGCGTTAATGTCTCTTTAAGAGGTTTCGGACAACATTCTGAACTAAGAAACAAATGTTATTTAACTATGTAGCTAGCTTGACAAATGCAACACTGCTGTTCCATCATGATGTTTTTTTTAGTTACACTATGCTGCAAAATTGTACATTTGTCTGTTAAGAGACAACAGAGGAAAAACTAGTTGTATAGACGACTTTCCCAGTATTTGCCAAATAATTCCTTAGGGTTTTTTCTCTTATGCTCATCAAGCTTACATTTATTTTATCAAAAATACAGTCAAAGCAGTAATATTGTGAAATATCTTTACAATTTAAAAAAAAAATGTTAATATTTTAAAATGTAATTGATTCCTGTGATGAAAGAGTGGCATTTTCAGCAGCCATTACTACAGTCTTCAGTGTCACATGATCCTTTAGAAATCATTGCTGATTGATGCTCAAGAAAGATTTTTTATCATCATCATTTTTAAAAACAGCTTAATATTTTTGTGGAAACTCTGATAAGTTTTTCATGATTTTTCTTTTCTTTCTTTTTTTTAATATTATTGTTAGTATTAGTATTTTTTAACATATTTTTAAAAAATATATATTTTGTAACAATGTAAATCTCTTTACTGTCACAATTTAATTTATTTAATTTATTTATTTAAATATGTATGAACTCACATTGGATATATAATTTGATAATTTGTAATTCAATTTTTCACACACACACACACACACACACACACAAAACATTTGAATTAATTAATGCAAAAAATTGTTTATTGGTATGGTAACCAGTTACTCAAGTTACTCAACCCTAGAACACATTTCCTTATACTTTCATGTAAATCTTAAAATTTCAATTTAGAAAAAAAAATTCTATTATTATGCATCAAAAACTGTTCTAACCATTTTGTTATGTAGCTATACTAGGAGAGTCATTCACTTAATCATTGTCCTGCTTTCCATATGGATGAGTGTTCTTGTGTGTTCACTAGGGATGCAACAATACAATTGAACAACCCACGGTTCAATTCATACCTCGTTTTTTTACCACGGTTTTTGGTTCGGTTCTGATGGCTTGGCACATCAGTGTTTTTTTGCCATTTAAAATTTGATTTTTAAATCAAATATACAACAAAAACTTCCTGTAAACATCTGTACAATGGAGAAAGGACGTGTATTATTATATGTCTCCTTAAAATTTCTTTTGAGAGAGGTATTTTTCCTATTTTTACCCAAAATAGGACGGATTGGCCATAATGGAGTGCTATAAACACATGTAATGTTTGTTTCATTCATACTGGATCCTGGAGGGCGCCCTCGCGCAGAAACTTTTCAAAAACGTTTTGAATGATTAAGTATGACAATAAACACTCGCCTGTGGCAATATAGTTTATTTGTGTTCTTCAAGCCATCTCAGGTATTTTCAAAATGATTACGTATATTTATAATCCATTGCTAATCGACATAGACTTTCTTACAGTACAGAATATATTTTCTGCTTCATTCTGAAGCTACGCCAGATCAGAAAAGGAAGTTATTTCAAACACTCAACTGATGTTGTGGAGTAAAAATATGTTATAATGTTCTCTTTTGTTGGACGGCATGTTTAGAAACGCCTCTCATTGCAAGTCATTACAAGGGAACATGTTTGGAGTGTGTTGCTTTTTCAAATGAACGTTATAAGCGGGGAGGCATTGCGTTTCCTCATCTCAGCACGTGTACTTACAGGCACACAAACAGCGCCAATTCTGAGAGAAATAAAACGCACACAGAAATTATTTAAAAGCAAAACCAAAAAAATGCAATTCACAAGCGCGTATTGAACAGTGCATGTCATACAAAACGGTTCAATATTATATTGAGAATGGTGACATCCATGGGCGACATTGTGGGGGGGGGCAAATTGTTAGTCATGGAATCCCTGATGTCGGCCTCACTGCAATTGGAGCGCTTAGCCAAGCGCTAAATACCCTCGACGTGTTTTTGCAGCGTTGAGCAATGTAACCAATCACAGACATATCTGTTGATTTCTTAAATGCAATGGCCAATCAGAAACGTTTTGTCAGAATTCACTCACCTCTGAAAGCGCTGCAGTTTTTAAGTGCAGTTTTGCACGCTCGTGAATCATCTCATGACTAAGTGCAGACGCGATGTAAATAAGAGATTCATTGTGCAGTTTAGAGAGCTTCATTGATTATAACGGAACTTTATAAGATCGCGATGAACGAAGATGAGTGGCGCTTTTTAGTGATAAAGGGAGCGCGCTTTGCGCACTTTCTAAGGTATAATCCATTCAGAATTTGTATGAAACTTTCGTTTTTTGGACACATAGGCTACACCCTGCAAAGTTTCGGGAATGACATCCGCAAACCTGGCCAAACCTCCACAGACAGTGCGCGTCCCGAGCGAGATCTAATTCATGGACCAAAAGCATGTGTAAACTTTATTGAGATCGGGACATATTTTTTTTTTTCCTCACGTGTCTCGCCTTTGGTAACAATGATTAAAAACGGAAACATTTCAAGAAACACGGGAAAAAGACACTGAAAACTTCAGTGAACATCAGAAAAGCAGTGTGCACATTTTTGGATAAAAATGTGAAAGGCCATCAACTGACAAATGGAAAGCATCACCATTCAAGTCAGCAGGAAGAGCCAAAGCTAGTCCACAGTACTTCTTGACTGTGTCATCCGAAAAAAATTCCCCCCCCCGGACTCAAGAGTCTAATGACGCCCATGGTGACATCCCTTGTGTTCACGAATATCAGCTGCACCATTCAGTGTACAAAATCTCATGACATGTCTTGCAAAGTCCTGACATTTTCTGTTCTCCATGCAGGTGAGAAGCCGTTTGAGTGCAAGCTCTGCCACCAGCGCTCCAGGGACTACTCGGCCATGATAAAACACCTGCGTACCCACAACGGAGCCTCACCGTACCAGTGCACCATCTGCCTGGATTACTGCCCCAGCCTCTCCGCCATGCAGAAGCACATGAAGGGCCACAAGCCTGAAGACATCCCCCCGGACTGGAGGATAGAGAAGACATACCTGTACCTCTGCTACGTCTGAAGGAGGGAGACGGTGGGGATGGAGGGGAGCGGGAGGGCGAGGGGTTAAAGCGCCTGGAAACACAGTCAGGAAATGGACAGATTTGTCGGAGGGGCTGGGCAAGGCAGAATGGGAATGGACAGGAACTAAAAAGGCAGAAATCTTACCCCATCAGTATCGCAAAACGAAAAAAAAAGCATCATGTTATAGCCATGTATCTGTTCGCAGCACGGATCATATGGGAAGTCCTCTCTCTACATGTCAGCTTACATCCCAAACGTTAAATATGTCTTATCAGTCAAACAACACACTTCAGCAATGATCCCTTCTCTTCATAAGGATGCCCTCTTCTGGTACAAAAATAGTAGTGTGAACTAGTGTTTATCTCTGACTGATCAGTTCGATCGCAGCAGAGATGTCGGTGCAAGAAGCACTTAGATCCATCAGCGGTAACGTGCCAGTCAGGTACTCCACAGCAAATATGAACCGTCATGTTCATCAGGGTCACTACTGCAAACTGGGATGTAAGCTTCCTGCAAAACATGTTCACGATGCCCGGCTGACAGTCAGTGTGTAGATCCCTCCCATATGATTCACATTCATTAAGGGCTTATTGGTTTAACCAGCATACAGATCAGCTAAGCTCTCAGTACTCTGCTCATCAACGTCATTTCACGTTTTTTCTCTCTCATCATAGCTTCATAGCACGCATTACAAGCTGACTTCACGACGACAGTTTTTGTTTGATGTTGATTACTCAAGCGCCACATTTCGAGTTTATTTTAAGCTGTATTATGTGCACACTGTACATGTTCACATTATCTCCTCCTTCACTTATCAATTCTGAAAATCGCTTAACTGTTTGAAATGCATACAGAACATCCATTACACACTAGACATCTAATCAACTGTTTATGCTGTTCTAGAGACCAAAATGATGACTAAAGCTGCTTTTGTCAGTGGCTTGCAGGCTGAGCGGCACTGTGACGTTCAGGGCTTGTCCGCACATATCCGTGTGTTCGTAGGTGGCCACGAGGCTTGGCCTGTCCAGCTGGGAACGCTGGGATGAATGAACAGAGCAGATCAAATCTTTTGGTTTGGTTCCTTTTGCTTTGTCTGTGTTTCCTATTATACCTTGATTTACTTCAGCACATCGTACTTGAATTACCTCGTTTTTTTGTGACCTCGTGTGCTAGTGTTTTAATTTTTCCTTTGTTTCTTTGTATATTTTGATTGTTTGCTTTGCGTTTGTCTTTCAAGCAGGGGAGATCTGAAGCGGCGCGTGCTTTTAAGTACTTAAGAATTAAGTGCCACGGTGAAGAGAGATTATTTGTCTTTCGTTCAACGTTTGTTTAGTTTTATTCTTTGCATTAATCTTACCAAACTTGGTATTATGTTTTTGTTTTGTTTGTTTTGTTTTACTAACCCTGCTTGTTGAAGAGCTTGTGGGTTTGGTCGTTTTTGTAAGCTACCTCTAAGTTTTGTTTCTTTGTGTTGTGTTTCGTTTGCGAAAGCACATTGTTGTTGTTTTGCGTTTTGCATTATTTCAACTTCATCTCACGCTTTCAAGTATTGTATGTCGGAAGCGACGAATATGAAAGGGTAAGATTTGCTTATAGGAAAAGTGGGTTAAAAAAAAAAAATCATAACTTAGGGATATCAGTCCCCCCACCCCTGTAAATTTTACCTTAAGAGCAGAAAAGAGATTTCTGAAGCCTTAAGTTCGGGGTCGGAGTTGATCTGGGAGGTGCGTATGGAACAAGTGAAGTATAGTATTTTAAAGTCTGAAAAAAAAAAAAACAATGTTAAACTTGAAAATATGTGAATAGAATTGTAGTTTTGTAATGTGAAAAAAGAAGGTTCACAGAGCGTGAGCCACTAAGAACAGGTCATATGCAGCAGTGCATTGTGCGTTGGACAATTGGGACTGCAAGTGGTAATCAAAGATGAAAGGAAGAAAAAAAAAACTAAAATCCTGTCAGTTTACATGTTTCTTTGTATGAGTATAGTCCTGAGCAAGAGCCAACAGAGGCCATTTGATATATAAAATTGTGATATTTTTGTATTAAGTGTCAGTCCCTTTTTTCCATTTGTTGAGGTTGCAGCGGGGCAAAACTTTGTAGTTCTTTTTTTATATCATTATTCTCTCGTTTGAATCGTTTGCCTTGCTCCTCTTCGGTAATGTTGGACAGTGCGTGATCCTATAGTGGTAAATGTTGCTTTCTGGATGTCAATACATTGCAGTTGAAGGACTAAATCAGCCACATTCTCATTTGTGAAAATAAACAAACAAAACAATACGTGATGCCAATGATCAATTCCATTGCACACAATATCTCAAAACAATCAATGTTGCCAACGTTTTGTTTTTTACTTGAAGTGACTAAAAAAAGAAGGGATGGGAAGACGTGTTAAATGAAGCATAACTGTCGTTTGTCTTGCCGTTGTTTTCTGGAAAACACTGTGAGTTTGGGCATATTTGCCTCCCTGTGAGAATTTAAAAACTAGTAGCTCCATGAAAAAAAAAAGGCAGAAATATATATTTTGTTCTGTAAATGGATCATGTCGACTGGGTAAAACAGAGTTTTGCAATATGTGGCAACAATACGAGATATTAAGTCACATGTTAGTGTAACTTTTTGATCTTGTACTTTGCTTTGAGTGTTTTCACATAGTTTGTGCGTGTGTGTGTGTGTGTGTGTGTGTGTGTGTGTGTGTGTGTGTCTGTATCTGTGTGTGTGTGTGCGAGCACGTTAGTGTCGAATGCACTAATCTGAAAGTCATATTCTATGCCACTTTTCTCTCACCATGATTAAAAAATATTGGCATTGATGTAGTTCTTCCCTCAATGTTCTTCTGATGTTTCTGTAATATCTTTGTGCCTAAATGAAATTGTTCAACAAAATGTCCACATATATCTGCTTAGTTTCTGTATTTTCAAGAAAAGTATTGGTGTCTTCAGGGCTCCAGGGGTGCCATGATGATCTCAGATCGATTCACCTGAGACGATTTTTGTTGTAGTTTTAATAATGATCATTTGGTCTATTTTCAGTGGTTCCACTGACGACCGATCAGTATTGTAGTGTTTTATACACAGTTCGAAAAAAGACAAGCCAAACATTCCTTGGATCGGAATATGTGGGGGGGGGGGGGGG